GGGAGGGGGGGGGGGGGGGTCCATGGAGGAAAACCGATCCTTACTCCCCCCCCCCCCCAAGCCTTTGCGTGGGGTTCGAGGCCCACTGAATTTAGGTATTTTGGAGGGCGAACGGTTCCATTTGTTACGGTTTAGAAATATAATTCTGCTTTTCAAAATTCTAATTTCAAGAGGGGACCATTGGTGTGTTTTTTAAAGAAATCAAAGAGGGAGAGGTCCAGGAACTCCTAGACCCACCCCCTAAATCTGCTACGGTTTACTTCTCGAATATATCAATATCATGATCGACATTTAGAGTCACTTGAAGAACTACTACACGAACGGCCGGCTTTGAGTTCGCTGATGAAACGATAATGGATATCTTTTTAATGGAAAATTAATTCCAACAGTGTAATTTTTATTGTTGTAAAATATGGATATAAAATTTCCCAAAGGTAAAAGGCCACCGTCTTTCTAAAGTTGGAAACCAACTGCATGTTCCCTTGGATGTTGTAATTGTAGATAACATCAATTGTCCAATAATAAAAATGTGTATTACCTCAAAGATATAAATTCCTGTGAGTTCTGGGGTATCTTGGGGAAACATTTTTCACGAAGAACTGTATTTCTGTTATGCTCTGTTCATGTGGGATAGCTCCGTTAAGGTTTTCAACATCGATTCCTACACGAATGACTTACAAGTAACAGAGTAGCGTGCACGATAAAAAGTCTGTATGATCCCTATTGGAGCTTTTGGCCTTTCTGTATAGCGACTGTATTAAAAGAATGATACCCAAATAATCACTGTGAGTGTATGTTAATTACCTGTATATAAGCGAGGAGGAACAGGGAGAAACATTAACAAATACATTTATTTATCCTAAGGTATCCCCATATTGTGGTGTTGGGTCGTGTAACACATTCGGTTGTGCTTGTAAGGGCGGCTGCAGAAAAAAAGAGAATTGCGTTGACACTCGCTTCACTTCAGGTGCAATGTAAGTATTGACGCCTCACAATGATCTAAAGAGTAAAACACTCTTGCCTTTGACAATATTCTTTAACTTTTCATCCGTTTGTTTATTGGATATAAAACTTGTCTGGCTATGTTATACTTGGTAAAATGAGATATCTTTATAATTATAGATGCAGATGTGACAAAAAGAGAGCAGCTGATTATACGTCTCCCTTGGTTACCAGAGCCAACACCAAGGCTGCTTTCAGTGACATTGATAAAGACAGGTGAGGGGGGGTTTCAACGAACCAAACCACTAAGGATGTCAGTTTTTAAAATACACACTGTCTCACAATGTGGTTAACTCAAAAGTTCATACTATTTCTACAAATCTACCCCGTTTATTGAAACCTAAATGGAAGTAGACAGTGTGACAGCCAATGGAATATTTGAGATACCTAAATAATTTACTTCGAAGTTTTGGCAGTGGTTAAGATACAGCTGCAAGAAAAAAAAAACGATTTGAAATCACACAAAATGGCGTATATATAATGATGAACACCAGGCAATATTATAAAAATAAAATGTGTTCTCTAAAATAAAACAGTATATACCGGAATAACGTAGCTCCATGCAATAATCTTCAATATTATGAGCATTTACTATGATGATTGGATCGAAACTGTAAAGATCGTATTGGAATTGGTTGCGAGGCTGTTAATCAGGTCTTTAATTATTAGACATTGGGTGCTAAATTGAACAAAAGGCTAAGCTGGAATGACAACGCAATGAAAGTATTGAAAAAAGCAAGGCAGCGTAAAAGTATTGTACTTTTAAAGAAATTTAAACGCTTTTGCCAGAAAATAAGAATTGTGTTCATTTTAGCGAATTTTTACAACTGTGTTATACACACTGTAGAAAGTATTTCAACTATGCATCTGTTGTGAGCGTGCATCTGTAGAGAAGAAATTTGGTTAAGACGGCAAGGGACGTGATTGGGACAAATATTGCTCTTACTAGTATTCAATTTATTTATCTCGATAGGGTTGTAAATAAAATGGTGTCTATTACTGGTTCCTCCCAGCTCAAAACCTTTTTAATTTGCCTCTTAGCAAGTGCATGTTTTTTGCTTTAAGGGTAGTAAACGGCTCGGCTGTATAAATATCATTTCCATATTCTACTTCCATATGCCAAAGCGGCATTCGCATAATGTAATGCTTTTGTTGATATAAATTATTCTCTTTTGAGTGCTACAGTATATATATCATGCTGAAGCTAAATTGTTCGCATTCAAAAAGGAAATAATTAAAAGTAGCACTATAAATCGGTTAAGAATATAAGATGTATGGAAACGTAATAGCCGTTTCCTACAGTCATTAAAAGCTTAATACGTATTCAAGGCAATAAGAAACTGAATGAAATTGAATCTACCATAGCTTATTGGTTTAAATGTATTAATATATGCAGCATCTACATTGCTTTGTTCTGCATTATTGATAAACGCATGTTTTAGGGACAATCACGTCTCCAAGGCTGAGTTTACAGAGGCCACAATGACTTTGTCGAGAACAAGAAGCAGCGTCGCTGAATTTGACATCATGGACGTGAATAATGACGACAGGATTGATCCGGGTGAATTCGATGCCGAGCTGAAAAAGTAACGCTCGCCTGTGTCGACAATACGGATAAAAAATATATATCCTGATGCATTTAAACTTTGGTTTGCAAAGAAATGGCTCTCTTTGACGTTTGGTAACACCAATTTATTCGGATGAGGTTAAGGACATTATTCAGACTTTTTGATTGTTTTCATGTTGTAATACTAGAGTTACCCTTGACAAGAAACGCAAAAAAGGGGCGTTTCAACAAAAAAAAAATGATTAAATAATGAATTATTGAACCTCTTTATAGTTAAATTATAGTTATACTTTTCAATTGCTCATATTCTTCATCACAAAATATCGTTTTACCCATATAAAAAATAATAGGCCATATAAAGCTGCCGTTATGTCAATGCTGGCAGCTATGCATCCATACATAGCAGTGAGAGTAGTGATTTTTCAATGCACTCGCAGTAAAATACCTTATTTAGAGAACATTTATGAACTGGAGGAACAGATAAATACAGTATGACAATTTACGAGCAGTTATGAAGAAAAGATTCTGTTTTAGGCCTTAATATCACTGATTAAGAGATTAATGAATGTGAGGCCAAATTCCATTTTCACAAACCAAGCAAATGGAGTGACGAAGTTTGAAGTTTGATTTTAATTTTAGACATTCAGTATGTTACCCACGTACAAAAGTAATTAACAAGTGTTTTATCCTCCCTTTTTTACTAAATGCAACTGACAAAAGGAAACGACGCTCCCGATTGATCTACGGGATGATCTACCGCCATACCTTAAATAAAATTTATAAAGTGTATAGAAACTGCCTTTTGACAAGTTTATTCTGAAACCTGTCACGTAGAAAACGTATATAGAAATGTAATTAACAAGTGTTTTATACTCCCTTTTTGCTAAATGCAACTGAAAAAAGCCGACGCTACATGTATGAAAAACTAACTAACGCCATACTAAAAAGCATATAAAGTTTTTAGAAACTACCTTTTGACAAAGTCCAAGTTTGCTAAACGGCCTGCATTTGCAGGAAACGGCTATTATGTTTCTATAGATCTTATATTCTTTACCGATATATAAAGATTGTAACAAGATTTTGGAGTACTCTTACGAATGCTGTCTCCTACTTCGCCTCGTTCTGATCTCCTTGCGACTCACGACGAGTGCAAATTCATAATCTATGTTCGTACTATCGCTGCTTCTATAACCACGCCATACGGGTACAATTGGTGTTTAACATCGGTAGTCAAAAGAAGCGATCAAGAGTCTGCTTCCTTTTCGCACTGAAACGCACACTGCACTTCGATTTTTTGAATTACTGAAAGGGAAAATGATATGACACAGATATTTAAGTCTATAATACATAAAGAAAAGATCAAAATTGCATTATTAATTTTTGCATGATTTTATTCCGGCGTACGGCTGTTTCGTCCAAGGAGACTAATTACCAGTAGTTCCTAATTATCTGGCCATTCGGAAAACCCCTATACACTGGACGGTGTTCTTTCAACGTCCTTTGTGCGACCATGAAGATGGCATCGCTGCGGTCGTAGAAAGGAGGCACAAGCATAGTTTCGGTTACAGAATGAATGCTCAATCATCGGCAATATATATATATATTTGTACAAAATTCTTTGCCACTCATAATAGTTGATTAATATTCCCACAATTCTTCTTGCCAGAATTTCTTGAAATAGCAACCTCAAATTTATTGTGTTGTTTAAAATACCTTTATACATGAAGTCACTACCAAAGCTTATAGATTTCAATGAGAATTGATTACCAGCATAAGGCTGACTATACCCTGAGTTTCTAGAAAGTTTGGTTGATTCTTGCTGATAAATAGCATATAGAAATCATGGCTAGAAAAAGGACTCGTTGGCTTGCTCTTGAATACAGGGGAGTTCGGCTGACGAGGTGCATGTATAAATAGGCTCTACACAAAATTTGTACAGTTTTGACATCCCGTGAATCCATTTGTTTAATAACTTCATTGGTAAAGTATCAATATGCAGGTAGGCGTATTGCAGTGAACAAAGAGCATTGATTTCTTATAACGATGTGTTTCGTTCGTATTTCATTTGGTATTTATTGTGTTAAATTGTTTCAGAAGATGGGCGATGCTAAAATATTCGCGCTAGCAGCAGCCCTTGTTACAGCAAATTTGGTTGAATTTGGGCAAGCCGTGTGTTGCATGGAATGGGTAAGCCCTTACTGTGCCGACTGCCAAAAGGTACGTATCACTGAGAATAAAATGGGAGTCATTTGACTCTCTAGTCAGAGTCCAGCACCCCTTGACCCTCATGGAGTTAATTTGACTCCTATATAAGGGTCAAATTACCCCACTACCAGAGCTTTAGACTCTCTTATCAGAGTCAATCACCCCCTGGCTCTCATGGAGTCAATCTGACTCTAAAATCAGAGTCAAATTATCGGGGGCCAGTGTCTAGCTGACCCTTTTCAACGACTCTTTTCGCTCGCTGGACAGTAAGCTTCGTTTCATTAAGCCCCCTTTACACTGGACGGCGTCCTTTCTGCGTCCAGCAGTACGGCCCCATTTGAGAGTAAAAGAATTATAATACTTTACGTGCCGACAACTGGCCGATCATTGAGCATTCATTCTGATACAAAATTAATGCTCGTGCCTCCTTATTAAGACCACAGCGATGCCAAATTTCATGGTCGTAGAGAGGACGCAGAAAGGACGCCGTCCAGTGTAAAGGGGGTATTACTTGTGATGGCAGTGAGCAGACGGCGTGGAGAGACCAGTTTTCATCATCCTTTGTCAGTATAAACATTACTTTATTGGCCATAGTTGGTTTTATGCATGAACAAGTGGTTTTCTGTGTGTTTCTGCATGTAGAACTCGTGCACTTAATTATTACTGGCCCGGGCTCTCAGTTGCCACACCCTTTGTGTGGTATGTTGGTATACAGGCCATCGGGTTTTGTTTCCAGGTTGTAGGTTTGACCTACCAATGCATGTCAGTGAAGAGGTATGCTCACTCATTGGTATATTTGTGGTAGATATATAAATATATGTCATGTTGTTTATTACAAAATTTACAAATTGTTTGTTATTGCTTTATACATCACAAGAGACCGCATGGCCTAGAGGTTATGGTGTACGCCTCTGGAGCGGGAGGACGTGTGTTCGATACTTGCTGTCTCTCCCCGCACTGTTGTTGTTGTTGTTGTTGTTTTAGTTCATAATGTGCCAAGGACTCTAAAATTCCTTAATATGGGGTCATGGTGACTCTTTTGTAGAGATAAATCAAGGGATGAAGGGTTGTGTGAATGGAGTCAATTGTGACCCTCCTGTGGGGTCTGGGATGGCATTTCTCCATCGGAGTCAACTTCACTCTAATTGGGAGTTATTTTAGGCACCACTGCTGGACTCCAAGTTTGGAGTCAGTTGGACTCCGATTTTATTCTCAGTGATGGCAATGAAAGTGTACAGCGTGATTAATTTTTGAAGGCATGTTTTTGTGTATATTGGAGAGCATATAAGTGATATTATCACGTGTCTCATTCATCACCATGGATGCTACGCTTTGCAAAATCACAGCCTATGTACCAGGGGCGGATCCAGGATTATTTGAAGGGAGGTTCACGGATGCAAAACCGCTCCTCCCCCCCCCCCCCCCGCCTCCCCGACACTCGGCGCGGGGTTCGAGGCCCTCGAAAATATCAATATCATGACGTTTTAGAGTCGCTTGAAGAACTGCTACACGAACGGCCGGCTTTGAGTTTGCTGATGAACCGATAATGGGTATCTTTTTAAATAAAAAATAAATAACAACAGTGTAATTTTTATTGTTGTAAAATATGGATATAAGTATTTCCAAAAAATAAAGGCCACCGTCTTTCAAAAGTTGGAAACCAACTCCATATACCGGGGTGACTTTTGTTCCCTTGGATGTTGTGATTGAAGATAACATCTATTGTCCAATAGAAGGTTGTTTAAAACTGTGGATTACCTCGCGATTGTAAATTCCTGTGTGTTCTGGGGTATCTTGGGGAAACTTTTTTCATGAAGAACTGTATTATTGTTATACCCTAGTCATGTGAGTTAATCGGTTAAGGTTTTCAACATCAATTCTTACAAGAATGACTTCCAAGTTAGCGTGTATGATAAAAAGTACGTACATCCATAATGAAGATTTTGACCTTACTTTATATCGACTGTATGAAGAATGATACCCAAAATAATCACTGTGAGTGTTAGTTAATTATATAAGCGAGAGAGGAAAAAGGGAGAATCATTAACAATTACATTTGTTCATCCTACTTAAGGTAGCCCCATATTGTGGAGTTGGGTCGTGTAACATTTTCGGTTGTGCTTGTAAGGGCGGCTGCAGAAAGAAAGAGAACTGCGTTGACACTCACTTCACTATGGGTGCAATGTAAGTATTCCCCCTCTGTTTCTAAAGAGATAAAACGTATGTTTTTCTATCCATCAGGGATGTTATTTCGACCCTTCAACAAAAAATCTTTAGGACATGAGTAACTTAGTGCGCTTTTTTTTAATTACAGACCCGCCATGTGCAGCTGTGACAAAAAGAGAGCAGTTGATTATACGTCGCCCTTGGTTACCAGAGCCAACACCAAGGCTGCATTCAGTGACATTGATAAAGACAGGTGAGGACCGGGGGGATTTCAACAAACCAAACCACTAAGGATGTCAGTTTTTAACTTTTACTCACTATGTGATTAACTCAAAATTCATAGTATTTCTACAAATCAACCCCGTGGTTTGAAATCTAGAAGGCAGTAGACAGTGTGACAGTCAATGAAATATTAAAGAAACTTAATAATTTACTTCGAAGTTTTGGCAGTGGTTAAGATACAGCTGCAATAAAAACAAACAAACAAACCACATTTGAAACCACACAAAATGGTGTATACCAGGCAACATTATAAAAATAAAAGGTGTTCTCTGAAATAAAACAATATATACCGGAATAACGCAGCTCCATGCAATAATCTTCAATATTATGAGCATTTGCTTTGATGATTTATCGAAATTGTAAAGAGCCTGTTGGAATTGGTAGCATTGGGTGCTGAATCGAACAAAAGGCTAAGCTGGAGTGACAACACAATGAACGTATTGAAAAAAGCACGGCAGCGTGTATACTTTAAAGAAATTTAAAAGCTTTTACCAGAAAAGAAGAAATGTGTTCATTTTAGTTAGTATTTACAAGTGTATCATCGAAAGCATTTCAACTATGCATCTATTATGCGCATGCAACTGTAGAGAAAAAAATCAGTTGGTTAAGACGGCAAGGGACGTGATTGGGACAAAGCTTACTCTTACTAGTATTCAATTTATTTATCTCAATAGGGTAGTAAATAAAATGGTATCTATCGTGAGACTGGTTCCATCCAGCTCAAAACCCTTTTAATTTGCCACTTAGCTACTGCATGCTTTTTACTTTAAGGGTAGTAAACGGCTCGGCTGTATAAATATCATTTCCATATTCTACTTGCATCTGCCAAAGCGGCATTCGCATAATGTAATGCTTTTGTTGATATAACTTATTCTTATGTGAGTGCTACAGTATATATTTTATGCTGAATTTAAAATGTTCGCATTTAAAAAGGAAATAATCAATTTGCTTATTTTTGATCGCAGGTGAAATCAATTGTCGAGCAATAGTTTATTCTGTTGTTATGTTATAAGGAAGTTGAATGGAGCGGTGCATCGATAAAAAAACAAGGCCAGGTTTATACGAATAAAATAAATAATATTTTTTTAAATATCTTTTTTTTTATACAAATGGCTGCCATACTGTCTGTTACAGTCAGTAAAAGCTTACTACGTATTCAAGGCAGTAAGAAACTGAATGAAATTGAATCTACCCTTATTGGTTTAAATGTATTAATATATTGGGCATCTACATTGATTTGTTCTGCATTAATGATAAACGCATGTTTTAGGGATAATCACGTCTCCAAGGCTGAGTTTAAAGAGGCCGCAATGGCCTTGTCGACAAAAAGAAGCAGCGTCGCTGAATTTGACATCATGGACGTGAATAATGACGACAGGATTGATCCGGGTGAATTCGATGCCGAGCTGAAAAAGTAACGCTCGTCTGTGTCGACAATACGGATAAAAAATATATATCCTGATGCATTTAAACTTTGGTTTGCCAAGAAATGGCTCTCCTTGACGTTTGGTAACACCAATTTATTCGGATGAGGTTTAGGACATTAGTCAGACTATTTGATTGTTTTCATGTTGTAATACTAGATTTACCCTTGAAACAATAACGCAAAAAAGGGACGTTTCAACAAAATGATTGATTAAATGATGAATTATTGAACCACTTTATAGTAATATTATAGTTATATATGTCATAGCACAATTTTAAATTGCTCATATACTTTTACCCATATAAAAATAATAGGCCATATAAAGCTGCCGTTATGTCAATGCTGGCAGCTATGCATCCATACATAGCAGTGAGAGTGGTGATTTTTCAATGCACTCGGAGTAAAATACCTTATTTAAAGAACATTTACGAACTGGAGGAAAAGATAAATACAGTATGTCAATTTACGACCAGTTATGAAGAAAAAAGTCAGTTTTAAGCCTTATTTCACTGATTAAGAGATTAATGAATGTGGGGCCAAATTCTATTTTCAAAAAGTAAATGGAGTGACGAAGTTTGAAATTGATTTTAATTTTAGACATACAGTATGTAAGCCACGTACAAATGTAATTTACAAGTGTTTTAGTTTCCCTTTTTGCTAAATGCAACTGAAAAAAGCCGACGCTACATGTATGAAAAACTAACTAACGCCATACTAAAAAGCTTATAAAGTGTATAGAAACTGCGTTTTGACAAAGTCCAAGTTTGCTAAACGGCCTTCATTTGCACGAAACGGCCATTATGTATACTATATCCACTGATCTTATATTCTTTACCGATACATAAGTTTTGTAACAAGTTCTTGGAGTACTCTTACGGTGGCTGTCTCATACTTGGCTTCGTTCTGATCTCCTTGCGACTCACGACGGGTGCGAATTCATAATCTATGTTCGTACTATCGCTGCTTTCATTACGACGCCATACGGGTACAATTTGTGTTTAACATCGGTAGTCCAAAAGAAGTGATCACAGGTCTGTTTCATTTTTGAAACGCACACTGTAGGCCTAAATGAAAATTAGGTATTAATTTCATTCACTCTTTCGCAGGGTAGTTTTGGAGGGTGTAGCATATTCGGCTGTCAGTGTACAGTAGGGGTGGCTGTAGAAGGAGAGAAGACTGTGCTGATACTCGCCACTAGCATATTTTACAGGTACCTAAGTGTGGGACCTCTTAAGCTTGTTCAAAATACTTTTAACAATTAAGCGATTGATACCAGTATTATTATTATAATTATTATTATTATTATTATTCATAATTACACCGCTATCAAAATATGTCGAACAACCTTTCTGTTCGTGGATGCAGGTATCACAAATTCCGGTATAACTTTTCTAATGGAAAATAAGAAAAATAGAAATAGAAATAAAAATAGAAAAGCATTTTATCAATTGTTTATGTTTGGATCACGATGCAATTATTGGTTAGTGACGACCTTTACAATTCCACCCACCCGTCTTAGTCCATTCTGTTGCCCGTGTTTCCCCTTAGCGTCTAACTAGGGCACGTTATTGTCACTTTCTCTCTTGCAGCTGCTAGTACATGTACAACCGGTGTGGATCCTACAAGAAAATGTACGTATTGACGAGTAAGGATACGATGTTTTTCTTCACGTTTCTTTGGCACGATCAGTGTTGGTAGTGACTAAATGTGATGTGAGTTAATGAAACATTATATACTAGTGTGTTAATCGGTGTGTATCCGACACTTTAATATGACTTGATGTATGGATTAGAATAAAATGTAACTTGATGGTCGTGAAGACGAGCACACAAAAAACATATAAGTTGGGTGATTTTTACCCATGGCCACGCCGCAAGAGCACTTTCCCCTAAGAAAAAGGTGTACATCCGGCTTGATAATGACAGCCACCCTGGCAAGCACAGCAGAATGGGTTACACCATCCTTTGCCGCAGCAAGGGTGTTGCTGCAATAAGCTTAAAATTAGTTCATCTCTCTCTCTCTCTCTCTCTCTCTCTCTCTTTTACCGGTAGCAACTGCTACCCCCTCTATTTCTAAAATCATCACCAATTATGATCACGATAATATTAGAAAAATGGAAAAATTCAATACTTATTTACAAAGTGATGTATGTTATTTCTGTTTGCAATTAAATGAGAAAACTATTATTTTTAGAAAAATTAACTTACTCTGCTGCAATCGTTACAGTATCGGTAAGTGGGGTAACAGCATTCTGCTTTTGCCAGTTCTAAAGCAATGGCTGCTAAACTTGCTGCAATAAATGCGGGGAAAACTACGCCAGTCACCATCTGAAATTATGATGAATTTAAGAAAGTGTTTAACCGTGATACGCTTATTTTGATTCCAATATGCAGCGTATATTTTGATATGACATTTTATCAATGTACTTCAGAAATGTAATTATGGTACCGTAGACCACGCTGTTTTCTAATCTTTAAGTCACTTCTCTCCCGTTCATTAGAATTTACAGAATACTAGAGTTAATGAAATATCATCAGTTACAGGTATTTCACTAACCCATTCAAACAACCGACCTTATGAACCTACCTTATGACGGCCTGTTCTCTCTCACACTCTCTCTCAAACACACGCACGATGGTGTTTTAAAAGAGGTTGACATTTATTAATGTTCCATCTGAATCTATACTGATCACCACATTCATGTAAAAACTAAGCTGTGCATTGAAACTTAGTTTTCTGTTTTCTTTTGTTTATATGTTTTTACAATCTTTTGAAAGCAAACATCGAGGTACTCTGTTCACACGTCTACTTACTGATGACGGCCCGCATTGGTTCGGTAATTAGATACAGTGTTTTCTATATGGATGCTGTACGAGGCACGATTTAGCCACGATGATTTTCACATGCATGGCGATTACCTTGGCGCTTGGTGTATAATGGAAGCATCTTTGAAGTCCCGTAGAACTGTCTCGTGCTGCCAGATGAGCTGGAACAGTTGTAACTTCTCAGTCACCACTATGCCACCATCTTTGTAGGCTTCAGCTGGGATGGAGTCTGAGCCAGGTGTTTTGCCACTGGATAGCTGGTGAATAGCTTTATGGGTCTCCCCAAAAATAAATTTAAAAACATGTATATGAGATGTGTGTAACTACATACACCTTTATAGATGGTTTTATTTAAAAGATATAAACTCAACCAATGCACTGCCTGTATATGCCGCGAGCCTTATTGATAACATAAGTACAATATATCTCCCAGTCCACCGCCATGGAAAAAAACATGCGGACAACAGCCTCAGATCGGTCGTGAACATAAAATAACAGGGACATCTGGTAACACCAACTAGGCGAGAATCACCTAAAAGTAGAATTAGAAATAAAATTAGTAAACATCTAGGCGACCGATGAAAACTTAATAAGGTAATGGTAGCTCACAACTAGGCAAAACATACATAGCTGGTTTACTATCCAGAACAGAGGAGCATAACAACTTCAAAATACTTGTAACCTTGTGACAGAAAGTCGACCAGAAACCCATGAAAGTTTAGTTCACCTGGTAATGCAGACATCGAAACAAATTGAAACAAATGTAAATGTATAAATATTTAAAGGCATGTCAGTGGCAGCCGTAAAACAAAATAGAAAATATATAAAACAGGGGAACAGCTGACCCGGTAGAATATTTTAATATCAATGCAGTATAATGGTCTAAACACCAAAGAAGGAAAAAGGTGATGAAAATGGTTCAGTTAAGGCTAAATAAAATAGTAAACAGTGGAAGCAAGGAAAAGCAGTGATTAAAACATTTGGTCATTTATTGATAACCGGCTTAAACAGGTGCGGCTCAGGGATCATTATATACAAAATAGCAGAATCAGTAAAATGATCGTAAATGCATACATACATGTACATTTGAATACAAAAACTATCCAAATCATTTCTCCATGCTTAAACAAAAAAATTGCTTACTTTACGATGGCTTGTACAGTAACTTTTTCTTCTTAAAGAAAACGGGCGTCAATAATGTGGATATCTCGGAAATTCAACGATCAAAGCAAAGCGGAAAGGCAAGCGTCATGGTCGCAAACAAATAGAAATACGCAGACCACTGATATTTTATATCTAATCACGCTCATTGAGTGTTGGCGCTCATCGGTTAGAAAACGGACCGTTCAGCCTCTGCAGCAGACAAAATGACATCTACTGAAATATTGCAGAAAATATACAAAAATAATCTAACCACAGAAATTTCATAATAATCATCCAGCCAAAAACAGGATGGTGTGATGGAAATGTGCCACTTCAATCATAACACCCAATAAATTACCTGGAGCTCTGCAAATCGCCTTGAACTCCTGCTGCACTTTGTGGCATACCACTCCTACCACAATCCCAGTCCCTGCGGTGTCACATGCAGTTTCACAGTTTGGTAATCCACAGTTAATCAAACCAATCAGAAAATTTCTAAGGTTTTAAGGTATTATGGACCTTGTATACAGATAAACAACTAATCTGTATCATAACGATGTTTCGTGCTGTTTTATTACATAATGGGGATTTACAATGTATTTTAATATATTAATTAAAATTCTACCGAAGCAGAGTGCTGTAATTAACTGTTGCTCAGCATAGTTGTCACACCCCGAGGAATTGATACAGGTTTTTTAATTCTTAAATGTAGGCATTTTGTTTTGTTTTGTTTGGTTTTTTTTTCCACGCAGTAATAATTTTAATGAAAATTTCTTATTACCTGGGTCAAATATGAGCACATGTTCGATGAAAGCCCCAAGGCAAAGTTAAGAGTGTTAGGTGTATGCTAATGTGTGGTGCAAGCTTGGACATCATCAGGTGCTGTTGCCTTGATATACTTGGTAAAGTAAATAAATTGATGGAGCAAATAAATGTTGAACTCCATCGTTTGTACAGGTATAGCTAAAGCCATGCTAGGTTAGGTATAGTGCTTTGATAACGTTGAGATTATTAATGCTTAAAA